GCCCAAAGAATAAGAAGACATGCAAACGTGCAGAAAAATTTGTTAGTGCTTCCATAGTTGTTCCCAAAGATGTTGTGTTTGCTGTACATGTAATGAAGGTTGTTATCATTTATCTAAATATTCAAATCTTATAAATGCATTATTATTGTTTAAAAGTTATTAATAACCGAATCTTGCTCAAATTAGATAAATAATATTCTTTATATATTCGAACCTGTTAAATTAAATATTCGATTTTTCAAATCTATCTAGTTCATCTATACCTGACCCAAACCTAATCCAAGTAAGAAAGAAATTTACACCAAATTTGATATTTGCAATTTATTAATAATTATAAAATTAAAATTAAAATTAAAATTCACTCATAATTAATGACAAATGAATTTTTAAATTGAATAAACTAATAATTTAAAAAACTTAAAGCACTCATAATTTTTTTAGAGATGATATGGTATCATACATATGGTATCATATTCCGAAATTTAAAACGGGTAGCGAACTCTCTATTTAAACCCGACTCAAATTTGTTGGAATTCTACGTATCCAGTCAAATAGGTCCGAATACCCAAAACAGGGTGTCCAAGAACCCGTGTCTGTTTTCATAGTTTCGATAATGGAATCTTTATTTACTTAAATTACTTGCCTAATCATAATGCTTTATATTTAACAAGGATCCAAGAATGAGAAAAAATAAAAAGAGAAGATAAAATTAAGGAGCCTTCTGATCTTGGTCGAGAAATTATAGGAATAGGATATTGTAAGCTTCAGATTCCTTTTTTATTGTTTTGTGCAAAAGGAAAGGAACTCCTAAAGAGTAAGACCAAGCACGCCTAGTTTCCATTGCTTTTAACTTCTTCATTTGCGTTCGATTGTGATTGGTGTTAGTGTGACATTTACAATGCCTGATTACACACAGTATTAAGAGGCTTTCAAGAGCCAAAACAGTTTTTATTTGTGTGCATGGCACATTCAATTCCTCTGTTAAACCTTCAATACCTCCATTTGGGACACTGTCTATTTTATCATCGCATCTATTGATTGGATACATTCTGAACATTTGCAGCTTTGAAAATTTACATATCTATTGTCATGTGATTTTCTACAGATTGGTGTCCTCCCCAAGTCCAAATATCGCAGTTTTGACAATCTATGAAACTGAATTGGCAACTCTGTTATGTTTGTCCCTTGTAGATGGAGGCACTCTAGTGAAACCAATTCTAAAATTCCCTCAGACACCACATGGAGACTCTTGTTTGAAGACAAGTTTAGAACTCTCAGATTGCAGGTAATGCCCATGTTTTGGCACTGGGCTCATGACCGCACATAAGATTGCTGTTGTATGTGTTGAACTGCCTGTAAAGTTGGAAAATCTGTTTATAGGCAAGTACCTTGTTTGCATATGTAAGCAAACCTTATGTGAATAGGCATTATTGATGGTTTTGTTATCCTCAGGTACACAGATGCTGCAGCTTTCCTTTTGGAGATTGGGCTTAGCAGCTGACAAGTGCAATGCTCTAAACAGTCAATGCAAGGTGTGACTTTATATTATGCACCCAAAGTATCTGCCTGTATTACTGGATATCCATTCATTTGTCATTCCTTTCTCTTTGTTTTCTAATTCAGCTGATAGAACTAACTCTTTTATGTAGACAGAAAGTGTATCTATCGTTTAACTATCGTTTAAAAGTGCAAGCCTCGTCGTCAGTCAGCTTCTGACCTTCACTGTACCAAATGCAGCAAGCAATGATGATTTAGATGGCAAACCTCACGACAAGAACTAAAATGCAGTAAGCAGCGATTTGCATAAAAACAAGTCTAAATCTTGTTTCATTTTGGTCGAGAAATATCAAATGATAGATATGAATAAAAATTTTGCCTAACAAATCAAGTTTAGGATATGATAAAAGCAAGACAACCACACAAAACAGAGCATACAAATTTCAATCTCAAAGGTCCAAGGCAAACTAAAATTGTGATGAGAAGAGTAGAAGGCAACAACACTTTGTGATCTATTATTGCATTTGAGTTCTTCATTGTTTTCTGCTTCTCTAGATCATAACTCTGGAAATTTATTAGACATAAATCCTCTCCTCCCATTCTAGCCTTTTCCAGCATCCCTCCTTTCTTTCCATGTTGATTTCAAAATACATATAGCTATCATCAGGCTGATTGACTTGTCCACGCACCAGTCTCTGCCGCCAAAAAAGAATAAGAAGACATGCAAACGTGCAGAAAAATTTGTTAGTGCTTCTATAGTTGTTCCCAAAGATGTTGTGTTTGCTGTACATGTAATGAAGACGATGAAGAATTGAAAATTACGGGGTCCTTCCAAGCAAGGAAAGGAAAATTTAGAGTTGCCATACTAGATGAATTAACATTGTAAACCAGAATGTTGAAGCCTTTATTAATGCAGAAGGTTGTTTTTCTTTTCTTGTATAACATCTGAATTCTTGGAAATTCAATTCATGTCACATAATTATGATGCATTAGCCTTAAATACTGTATTTGGTGTGTAGCATAAATGTACCGATTATTTTGTATTAAGAGCATTAATCCTGAATTTTCCAATGTCATTTATGTAAACCAGATCAAGCAGACGATTGTGCATGATAAAAGAATCCATTCCCAAGTACCAGCCCTTCAAAATTCTATTTCTATACCACATAATTTCGTTGAAGATATTGCATTATTCTTTGTTCAATAGAAAATTTGAAGATTCTGATCTTATTATGAGTCGTGTTGGAGATAGTTTAAACTTTTAAAATGAGTAAAGAAACAGAAGCGATTAGTGTAGTTGTAAGAAGATTAGAATGATTGATGAATAAATAAAAATGCTACTAGGATAGGAATTTTAGAGACCTTACCATAGCAAACAGTTAGCATGCCATCTCACCTTTGAACACAATGATAATATGAGAGAGAGAAAAATAAAGGAAAAATTGCTTCTGAAACATCACGCACCTCTCTCCTCTGTGGTCTTTAGAATAGGATGTCAAGAGCATTTAGATTGGCTTCATCCTTCCAGTCTAGCTCTTTCCATCATGATAGAAGTTTGAAAGAGGGTAAAAAAGTAGATCGAGTGACTTCATCCTTCCATTGAACCTCTTTCCACCACTCTTCTCTTCCTACAATGCTGATTTGATTCCCCTTTGCACTGCCACAGTTGAGCGGAAGCTTCTTCAGTTTTGGGCAGTCCCGTACTGCGATTTCTCTCAAGCATGGGAAGGGTAGGGCATCCCAGTATATGCTTTTCAGTTCAGGTACAACTTCTAACCAAAGCCTTTCTAGCTTAGCAAATGGGCTTGGATTCGAAATTCCAACCACATTTTCAGCTTTACTCACTTCACTTACTATTTCTTCCATTCTTGGGCACAAACCTACCTGAAGCGCCGTCAGATTTGGAGCAAAAATCAGCCATGTCAGATTCCTCAACTTGCGACATTTGTCTATTGAAACCTTGCTCAGTGCATGAAAGCGAGGAGTGATAGTATTACTATTAGTGGGAAAGAGCGACGAGGTTTGTCTCATTCTGCTTTCCCCTAATTCCTTCTCTATATTCCTTGTTACCACCTCTTCTATGCTGTCACACTCCGTAATTTCTAGCTTCTCTAAACCCTCCATATTTTCTAAAAACAAAACACTCAATACCTTGTTAGAACACCAAACTGAAAAACTTAAAAATTGACTTCAAAGCGTGTATCAATGCCACTATCTTTAAGGTTTTATTCGCCCCCACTTGTATGTGTGCAAAAGAGTTACGGCGTATAAACCTCGAAGAATACAATGAAGCCCAATGATTGATGGCGTTTTGCACTGACGAAATCAATCCACTGAGCACTCACCGGAGTATAACAAGATTATTAAACTTCTATAATATTTTTTTTGCAGGAAAATAGTTATTAAAAGGAAAACTTGGAAGATGTTTGAGGAAGAAGAAGGAGAGATATTACTGGTTTTTTTTATTTCTGTTGGATAAGGAGGGTCATCTTTTATAGGCATAGATGCCTGTTCTC